AATGAGAACTAGACGGATCCGGATGTAAACTCATTTATCGATCTGACGAATTATTTAAGCTGTTTTAATGAGAGAGAGCTGCTTCTAGCTAGTGGTACTTCGTTTTGAGGTGTCTGCAATGTTTGGTTATCAAACGTCGGCAGATCTGGAAGAAAAAAGGAAGAGAAAAAGAAAGGCAAAGAAGCAAATGAAAAGATAAAACTTTCACGTCCTTTATTGCCTTCCTAGATGAAATAAAGTGGAAGATAGAGAAGAATAAAGAGGACCAACGCGAACGAACTCGAGATAAAAGAAATATTACCACGAAAAAAGATAGCCACGACAACTTTTACTCGTGACGTCAGTAAATGATATAATGTTTGCATTTGTAATGAATCATTTTCTATTTCTATATCGATAAATGACGAAGCTTCTCCAGCGTACCAATCGTCACGTGAGCAATAACAGAAATGACGCCGATAGTGAAAGAGATCATCAAAGTAAGTGTTGCTTCTCGTATGATTAAAGCGATTTCAGTTGAAAACTGGAATCTGGAAATGGCATTATAAACTCCTATTACGGTCAAAGCTGGATCTTCATTCCTTTAAATAATTCAATCTTGAATTACTAATATATATTATACAGGGTGCGTCGGACAAATCGAACAATTTCTTTAAACAAAATGTTTCTAATGAAAAATTAAATATTACAAAAAATCCTTTTACATGCTACTTGGGGGATCCCTGTAGAGCACAATTATTCGATATATTCCCATTAGCTTGAATGACAGCCTCTATTCTCGATCTGAAGCGTTCGCAAGCACGTTGTAATGTAGCGCTGTCTATGCCGATGAATGCTGCCTCAATAGTGGTCCTTAATGACGTCACATTGGGATGCCGAGACTTGTTTGTGACCCTTTCAACTACGCTCCATACGTAGTAGTCCAAGGGATCTAAATCTGAGTTGTTGGGAGGCTAGAATGGAAGCCGAGGCAAGTAATTCGGCTTGTCCTAGCAGCCTCAGAGAGCATCTGTCGTATCTTTAATATGTACGATTTGTATCGAAGGTTCTCCTCGGCAATTCGACGCATTGTTGACTCGCTTATACCAACAATCGATGATAATTTTCGCAACGATTGTCCTGAGTCATCCGAAATCAGTGCTTGAGCCCTTTCAACGACTGCGGGAGTCAACGACTCGCGGTGCGTTCTTTCGAGTGACTCTTCCTCGCTGGAACCTTCATTGGACTGTTCTAAAGCTGTATATTTTGCCATAACGTCATAAACGGTTGATCTCGAGTATCCAAAGAACCGAATTATTTCCGTTGCTGAGCGTCCAGCGTGAAGATTTTCGATGATCGCGGCTTTTCGATTATACTCTGCACTTGGTTTCAACATTGCAGCCATTTTGAGAATGTGACTGTTTACTAGAAGTATCAGGCTTTCTCGGATGCCGACAACAATCTCTGGGGGAGGTACAATATAGCGAAAAATTTAAATTGAAATTTGTCCGAATTTTGGTGACACACCTTGTATTATATATATATATATATATTGTAGTCTTTTAGGACGCTCGTACGGAATACAAGAGATCCGGATTCAAATCCCGGCGGAGGTAATATTTTTCGCAATAAATTTATTAACAATTTCAACTTATTCATATTTTTATAATATGATGCTTGATGATAACATCAAATTAATAAATTGATTGCCAATTTAATTCGCGATTACTAAAAGTAGTTTTAATTTTATAGTATATTCGGAAAAAGAATTCGGCGTGCAGTTCTAAAAGATTACAATGGAATATATGCAAATACATATATAGCGTATAGTAATTCAAGATTAAATTATTTAAAGCAATGAAGATCCAGCTTTGACCATAATAGGCATTTTTCTAGTATTAATTGTGTTTCTCATATGCGGTCTAAAATGATTCGTACTATTGTTGATATTATACAGTGTTGTATCAATAAAAAAGCAGTATCGTTTTAATTTTTAAATATCGATTTTCAATACATTTTTAAAAACAATTTTGAAGGAAGTAATACCTTTTAAACAGAATAACAAACATTAAAAGGAACTGGTATTCCCAATCGAAAAAGCAGTATCGTTTAAATTTTAAATATCGATTTTCAATAGGTTTTTAAAAACAATTTTAAAGGAAATAATGTTTTAAATAGAATGACAAAATATTCTTTTTTTTTTTTATAGTAAAGTGAAGAAAAATGTTTGTAATAATAACAGATCTCTACAAATATCTCTATAAATTATTGTAACTAATTAAATTCGCGAAACTACAATTCTTGTTTTATGAGAAATAACACGATTTCGATCGTATAATAATAGATATAAGTACCGCATTGAAATTTCCTAAAATTTTCCGCGTTACGTTCGCAGATCTCAACGATCTTTACACGTCACTTCTTACGATAAATGTCGAACCATTTAAAAATCGAATCTTCGAGTCAAACGATGTAAGTTCTCGGAAGCATGAATCGCAGTAGCGGGAAGCAATGACGCGGTCCGGAAACGGAGAGAGAAAGAAAGACGAATAAGTGTTTAAAAGAAGTTTCGTGAAAATGGAGGGCGAGATCGGTCTCTTTTCAGGCAATCGATGTGGATCGCGGTAGAAAGCAAAACGATGAAAGGGTGCAATACTGAAGAAGAATCTTTCGCTCTTGAGAAGGCTCAATTTGTCGCCACAATTTCACGGGCATCGCGTGCCAAGAATGCCGCTGAAAGGTCGACTATTGTTTTTCAATCCGCTTCGCATTACTTTATTAAATGGACGAAGATGGAGAGGGAGCTTTATCGTCACGTCGATCAATTGCTTAGACGTAATTTATAGGGTTGCTTCAGATTATTCTGTCGCTATTATATATTACCTATTCTGCGCACCCAACACCTATGCATTTACGCAATGAGAACAAGTGTGGATAATTGGGCAATCATTCACCTCTGACTTATTCTGAAATTATCTTTAAGCACCTTTCTTTTAAAACTAATGGAAACGACGATGAAAATTGCAAAATTCATATCCTTTCAAAGAGGAAGTTCGGAAAATTTTCCTTTTACTGTAGGCAAAAATAAGAAATTTCACAAAATGATTTCAGTTTATCCGGGAATCATTTAAATCAATATTGCTATTAAAATAGAAGTAAAAATATTATATGTTTTTGTAGTTTTAATTTTGATGTTCTGATTGTGAGTGAAGCCAGCATTATCATTACATTAAATGATGAAATACCACCGAAGAGATCGGAAAAAATTAGAAACATTTTCTTTCAGAGAGAGATTGAGAGACGTATGGAATTTAATGAAACAAAAAAAAAGACAGATCTGAACTGGTAGAGAAAGAGAGAAGAAACTCGAAGACGAAGAGAATGGAACAGTGTGATGGATGGTACAAAAACAAGAAAAAGCAAGTTTGAGTTAGAGTAGATGTTGATTTTTCTTTCTTAGGCCTCCCTTTTCTTCAAGAAAAGGCTTCATTAACTTCACGATAATTGGCCACGTTTGTAATTCGTGTTTGCGGAATGCCTATCCGTCTCTAACAATATTAATCCTCGAAGACCAATTGCGATAAGCTTTCTCTAACTCAGGATTTGATGAATCGAAGAAAGAAACAAGAACACTCTGTTGAGCGAAAATTTCGGAAGATTTGTCGCTACCTATCGAGAAGACATAGATGTCACAGAGGAAATATTTGTTGTTTGATTTGTTTGTGTGAGACGCGAATCTTGATTTCGTTTCTTCGTTGGTTCGGATCAATGCTAGTACTTTCTGCTGATACTTCTTTACTACGTATACGTATTCTATACATTTGAAGTAAAGGATATAAAATAAAGCTGTTGTTAAATTGTTTAAAGAATATAAATTTTAGTTTTAAATTTTTTTAAATTTTCTAAAGATTTTATTCAAGAGATTAATTTGTATAATTAATTTGTTTCTTTTGCATACTTTAATAAATAAAGAAACGTTTCATGTCTGTCTTTGAACTTATTATTAATTTTTTTGCAAATTACAAAAACGTTTTTTATGTCACGTATGTGCAATTTCTCGATCTTATGAACTTGAAGACAATGTTCGTCTGTTACACGCGTCGCTAATAATATTTTCTCGAAGTAACTTCCTCGCATTGATTTATGATTCTTTCGATCGTTTGGCAATTCCCACGAGGCCCACTAGCTTGTAACTTTTGCAAAGGGTTTCTTACCTCTTCTCAATACTTAAAATGACCAGCAAAGTTTTAAGGGAAAAGTTATGAGAATATTCCACGTTTTTTTTCCTTGAATTTTTCCCAACTTACACGTACCTTTAAATTATTCAAACGTAGTTGAGTCTCGCAAACTCGTGGCGATCGTCGTGATGTATTCGATGAATCGTGATAAATCAGAATATTTTTACGTAGAACTGAACATGAATTTCCGATTGAATTGTGACATTTCGATTATTCGCGGTTAAATCTTTATCAATAATATAAGCATTTATTAAGTAATTTAATTTCTAGATCAATTTCATTCTTCTTCTATCTCTAAATCTGTTACAATCTATATAAAGATATTTCTAATCGTATAATTGTGCCGAATCATTTTAAAGATATTTTAGTTTCGTTTGACTAAAATATTATTATTTTAGTCGAGAATAAGAATATCGATTGTGTAAATCATTTAAAGTAAATTAAAGTGAATTTTCTTCGCAAGTGAAGGAGAAGAATCTCTGATAATTTAATATATAACGTCTTCCTTTTTTATTCTTGAAATTTTTTTACTGTTCAATTTTATTGTCTGATGATATAGTCAATATTTAGTTAATATTCATTATGAAAAAATGATTAAAAAAATATTTAATACGACTGGCAACTTTATGTAAACGAAACATAATTCAAAATGTACTCTAGCAATGAATGAATAGCTGTATTTACCAGGATAGAACGGTAGCTGAATTACGATGCAAATTCTCATGCATCTCTATTAAAGCTAGAATTATTGCTCGTTATGACTATACAGCAATTACGACTCACCAACTATAGTCAGACGAACAGGATGACCGATGGGTGGAGTCGTGGATATTTGGCACTCGTAGATACCAGAATCCTTTCGCTGCGGATATCGTATTTTGAGAATCCATTCTTCTGTATGGAATATGTGTTTCGCTTCGAAACGTTGATCGCTCGTGTAAGTGTAAGTGCCGACTGTCAGCAAGTGAATGTCACGATGTCTCACCCACGAAACCTAAGGCAAACAATCAAATATTGATTTATATTGTATATATAATTAATATTCAAAGAAACTATTTTCAAGATTAAAGGAAAAATGTAAAGGATAAATAGAACTTAAGCACAGTTAGGAAGCAAAATTGAGTAAATTTTTATTTTTAAATATTGTATAAGAAATGTACGTAAATTGTCTACACGAATCTCCATGGTTATTATTACTTAAAATATATAAAAACTTAAAAATAATATATTTATAAGGCGGTAAGATATAATTCGTAAACAATTAGAACGTACAAGTTTGTATTTAACTTCTGCATTGAAGAGTATTCAAATCTAGACTTCAAAGCCAAAACGTTTGCAGTTATTGATAAACTTTATTGATAAATATGTTCCAATTGTTTGTGAAATAAACTTATCTTTGTATAAATATTATTTTCACATTAATAACCGCGGAAGTTCCATAAGTAAATGTTACTTAACTTATTTGCTTTATTTTTGGAGCTGCAAAATTATTATCAAACAATAAAAAGGTAACCTTAACAAATGTTTAAAGTTATTTAGGCATCTTCGAAAACGTGAAAAAATGTTTTATTATTTTAATTTTATATATATAATAATTTAGATGTTTCCTCTTCGTTTAGATGATTAGCTTCTTTTCAAGCCATTTTCAATGAAAATATGATATAGATAATATCTATTTTTATACATATTTCTAGTTTTTCGATTTCCAAATATAAGTAAAAGCAACTTATTAATCAAATATATTTTATATTCATTCATAGCATCAAATAAAGAAGAGATTGAATTGTGGTAATTGTAAGTGTTTTCGTCATAAATCAGTAGTTAAGAAAAGATATGAAAAAATATGTCGGTTTCTGTAATCTAAATGCAGAAATCTTGAGTTACCGAGCGTTGCGCGTATTGCTAACTATCACCGCTCCTCACGCCCTGTTGCTCGTAAGATTGGACGATAAAACTTTATACTCTCCCTTTTCTTAGCCCCGAGAAATTTACGAGTGCAGTAGATTCGCCGCAGCTGGAATACTTCATGTCTTTGTTTAATGCTATATAACCCCGTGATGTATGACTACAATCTCGGTGCAACGACGATTCTCCTACTTTGCAATTATTTATAGGCGAATAGGCATAGCAAATTTGTTCACTTAACTTCTATTAGAAATTATGGAACAGAAACGAAAACGAAAAGGCATGATATATATGTATAATTTCAACATAATATATCGTTAAAACTTTTTTTTAAACTACTTTTATTAAAAGTATGTTAAAATAAAATATCTGACAATGTCGTGAATACAAAGTATTGATCGCTAGAATTATGTCGTTATATCAGTATGATAGTGGTGATCGAATTATGGACAGGATGTAAAATGACAATCAAGTTCGAATAGTGCTGGGAAGTTCTTCAAGCCGTTAATTACAGCAGAATCCAACCGATTCGGAGCCGTAATAATATTCATACAAAACTTATGTAATTTCCTCACGTGTTGGAAATTATATCGTACTGACGAATTTGGCGCTTTAATAATTTCAATAGTTTTTGTTACTTTAACAAATTACATTAGTCTACACACTGTACGAAAAGCTCGTCTATGATTCACGCGCGATTTCGCGAAATCGTTAAACTGAATCGTATTTGTGTGCTATAATATTTTATTTATCAATGGCTAAACTGGAAACAATATTATTAACTGATTCTCGTTTTAGTCAAACGTTTATTTATGTAAAAATAACAATGGAGAACGATAATTTTAATTAATTAACCTTATGTCTGTGAACTCAGATATTGTATATACCAATTCATTCAATGATTCATTTAATACTCGGTAATCTGTCTACCTTTGTTTTAATGCCTGCATTCAAAACAAAATCTTGTTTCATAGTATTGTTTTCATAAAGGTTAATTAATGTAAGCTGTAGTGCAAGCGAATCCCTTTCTAAACATAGAAGAGAAACAAAAAATCAATGGAAGCTTTGTTATTTTATGAAAATGATATTCTATATAATATTTTATATTGCGCTATAATATGTTGTTTTTGTGCATAATATACTGTACGTAAATCAACAACAAATATTGTTGATCGACTGCAGGGCAAAACTCACGACGTGTATTTGCGCTCGAGTATTATCAGAAATATAAACTGCTAGAGCTTCCTATTGTCGATCTAATGCGATTGCCGCTCGAGTATACCGGCGTTGTTAAAATATACGTTTCGCAAAAAGAGGACATCATCTATCCAGTATACTCGTGGGAAACTTTTTCCGCATAATAAAATTCACGATACGCGCGCGAGAGAGAAAAAAAAAACGCGGTCGTGCATAGCTTCGGCAGAAATATGCGAGTGGATAAAACTCAAGAACGCACTGTGACTGCCATATAACGGCGATTGCTGCTCTTCCTTTTTCAAATCTTTTTGCATACGCGAGACCGACTTTCAGAGTTAATATCACCTCGAGAAAGAGTGGCGCTTATTCTTATCCGCCAGAGGCGCAACTTTTTCACGCAACTTCATCGTTTTCGGCTTCTTCATATTCCTGCACTTCCACTAAAAGTCAGAGATTGTGCGTAATTTTGTCCGAGCAATTCGATTGACGTTCTCTCGCAACATCAATACATATACGAACGCATGTATCCATATGTATTTAGGTAGCGAGAGATATTAATATGCAATAATATAGCATTATCATTATCACCATAATGTGTTAATTACCATGATTGAAGCTTTCATTATACTTTCCTATCGCATGCACCTCTGCAGATAAATGTATAATGTCAACGAAATGTATTAGACAGTACATACGTAGCCGCGGCTGACATAAACGCGAAGACCGACCTTTGCATAGAAATGAGACTCTGGGATTAAAACTGTGACCTCCCGACCGAATCTGCATGAAGACATAGTCTGACAAAGATCGTCCTTTTCTACTTAACCGCTACGCTAATCCCCGAGTAGTGCCGTGAACCGTTAATGCTAGAAATCGAGGACGCCCGGAGGGGAAGATAAATTCTCCAAGGGCCGTGTCCGCCTTCGAGTTAATTTATCGACCTACTCGAAACACTGATTTAACCGTCGAGGTGAAAAAAATTGTCTTACGGACCGGTACGAGCGGAACCGATTTAACTTAATCAACAACGGAAGTCTGAGGATGAAATTGAAATCTCGATGATCGCGATACCGCAATAATTACATAACTGGAATGATAGACGTGGAATTTTTGTTCCTGGTTAATTTATGAGAGATCTCGCTATTTTCTCTCTTCCCGCTTTTTGATGTAAACATCGTTATTTGCGACATTCGTTATTTGCGCCCTTAAATTCTTTTATGAGGTGGAATCTCATTTTAAAATGAGTGAAAATTGAGCCAGTCCTGAAAAAGAATGACTCAATTTTCAATCTTTAAGAGTAAAATTTTACTCTTCAGAGTGAGATTCATTTTAAAAGTTTTAAAGAATACATTTTCATTATGCGACATGATACTCATTGAGTAATCCCGCAACAAGAGACGTAGTTTCACGCGACATTTCGAAAATGTCGACGCCGCTTGTCTTGGTTCATCGCTCCCGAGTTTCGTGCATGGGTTTTTTTTCCCCCCCTGCCAATATCCCGTGTCAAAATCTGAATTGCTACTTGTAAGGCTTAAGATTTGCTTGAAATACGTAATTCTGTGACAAGCGAATCGGAAATTCTAACGTGAAATGAAATTTATCGAATGAATTTCGCTACTATTGCGCGCGATAAAATTTCATTTCATTTCTTTATGTCGGTCATTTAGTCCCGTTTATAATATAAAAATTTACTAAAAATTTAAACACATGTAAAAAAAAAGATACTTTAAACTCACCGTCCTATTTCCGATGTTCTTCACTCTGCACGCCAGTTGAACAGTTTCTCCAGCCAAACTAGTGATGTTGGACGGCATTGTGGTGTCAAAGTATGGATCAATTTCCTCTGTTGTGCGTTCTTGAAAGGTATCCGCCAAAAAAACATGCGATTCGTACGCGATGCTCTCTGGAAAAACTATTCCATACTTTCAATCAATAAAGATATTCTCGCAAAAGAAAAATTAATCGTATTTTGTATAAACACAGAAATTATCACATGAGTATGATTCTAGTAGCTAAAACAATTAGTAACAATGTAAGAGTATATCGTATTTTTTATTGCATATTCAGATATTACGAATAAAATTATAAAAAATATTTCATCTAAATATTTCATTAAAATTCTTTTCATTGAAACCTTTTCATCCATATCATGAATCATCATTTTGTGGAATATATGACCCGCCGAGCAATGAAAGAAAAAACTACTTTAAATCGAGCACTGCTCTGCAGTCAGTTTCAGGAGTGCGTGCATCCGACCGTTTATCTCGGTAATTTTAAATAGAGAAATACGACGATGGAACCATCAGTACGTCAGATCTATACGAACGGCCGCCTCGTGCAAGCAGCGAAGCTTCGAAAGTACATCGTCGAATAGGTCGTACATATCCTGCCCCGCACTGCAGCAAATGCAATCTCGTCCGGAGGTATATCTCTCGTGTTCGCAGATCGTGAGAGCGCGATGTGCCGTGGAGACTCATACGTGCGTGGCGGAAAAGCGAAGTCATGTCTATTTGCATAGAAGACGTGCAAGTGGACTTAGTGGCTTGCTGCGTCGTGTGATTACCATTCAAATCACGATTTTCCCCGGTGGAAATAGTTCGATGGTATTGCGAACTACTATTTGCACCGATCGAAACCGCCTGGATTTTCACCTTTTAAAGTGGATTTCAGCTGATTTCGTCTCGATAGACGATAAGAATCGTCCTGGCATGTTCTTTCAACCTGCCGGCTTTAAAATTCACGTCCGAGATTTCATCCTCTTATATGCATGATATGTGAATTAATGAAACTGCCAATCCATTGCACTGACATTGCCTGATGTTAATTTTTATTAGTTTAATTTTCTCTTTTACTACAAGTATAATTTTTTATCACAAGTACAATTACATTGCATTAAAATGTAGCGAGCTAATTGAGGATGTGCTATTACATCAAGCAACTCGTATTTAACTGGACTTTTATTTTTTTACTGTTATGTTAAACGAACTTGTAATATAAATGAGATGTTAAATTAATTCTCGTCGGCAATAAAATTTTCACTCTTCGTCTGCAATTTCTTTTCGACTTTTAGTGTAGATTTTTTATATTGCTCTAAATAATAACTGTATAAAAATTTGAAAAATTCCTATATGTTTATAAAAGCTTTAATAACGAATTTTGATTATAATTATAGAAATTGGATCATAATATGCAGAAGTTTAAATCTTTTTTTCACGTTCTAGTATAATTATGTTAAATTCAAATAATTAATCTAAATAAAATAAATTCAAAATATGTTTCATATATTTGAGACTGATATCAGATTATTTGAAACGTTATATTTTACAATTTAATGATGCACATAATATTATAAAATAACATGATGAACGACAAAAAGTTTTATATTTGACATTACATTCAGTATGAATTCCAATAAGAAAGAAAAATAAAAACATGTAAAACAATTTGCTCTATTCTTGGCGAAGATAATGTATCTCACAATACACGCAAATACTAGTTTCGTCATTTTAAAGACAGTAATGTTGATATGAAGGACTATTAAAAGACTCCTTTGAATCGGATGAACCTGTTAATGTCAATTATCATCAATTAAATAATTTGTGAAAAAAAAATAGAAGAAAAATATTTACATTATGTGTAAATAAAAGAAAATTTAAGAAACAGACCAAAATTTCTGCATACACCTAATATTTTATTTATTTTTTACAGATTTAAATTTATCTAAAAAATTCGACAATAAAAAAATCGACTGTGCGTTTAAAGTCTCACATTACTGGCGGAGGGTTAAGGACTATGTATTGCTAAGGTATATTTTTACTCGATGAATTTAGTGGAAGGAACTATGCAAGGGTTAAGAAGGTTTGCTTCGAAACCATTTATCGTTGCGCGCGTCGCTATCCCATTACCGTGGTACGCTTTAAATATACCGTAGAAGCAGGCGTTTCTCGTTCGCGTGCTTGTTCGTGGCGGAACAATCTTTTTTCCTTGGCACAGCAACAGTTTAATCGCGCGATGTCTCGTACTTTAATGCAATATACGTTGCCCGAAGCTGTTAAACCGTTAATAAACGATACGGTCGGTTGAAAGCACGGTCTTTCTCCTGTCGGCGCGAACACCACGCCCGACTTTGATAAAGTGATAACGATTCCACGGTCTGTATCCTTTAGGTCGTAGACCGGAGGGAGAGATAGAATGAGATGAGTTTTGCGAGATGAAAGGCCCAACTGAACAAGGGAGGCCGAACGGGGCACCCTCGCTTAAGCTATTTACTGTAATAAGCTTGGTGAACCCTCAAGAGAGAAAGGGTCCTATGAAATTCGTAAATTAACTCCTTCCTTTCCTAAGTTGTCTGACAAGAGCCAGGGTTTAGCAACTAGTTAAATTATTAGTATTTCTCTTGCCGTTTTGGGATACTGCAGAAGTATTTCACTTGTATATCCTTTCAAAGTAAAGAAGCTTTTTGATTCTCTTGTCAGTTATCAATCACCTTTTAAGTAGCAAATTCTTGATACTTTATTATGATATTATGATATACTTTATAATTTTATACTTTAGAAAATAGATAATCGTGTATTATAAAATTTAAATTTAACGTTAAAAGAAAAGTTAAAGTTCCAGGAAGAGAAGCATCGAGATTATTATTTAGAAAACTGCATTCTCATAAATCGCTATCATTGATCCACATCTTGCGCATTTCCGTGAAACGTGACTCTTCGCGTTGCCAAGTCCTTCGCGCCATTGCGACATAAGAAAATTTTGATCATATAGTTCGTTGGAAAGAGCCGAAGAGTACTGTCGAATGGAAACGTCGGCACTCAAGTATCTCGTCTTGAAAAGTTTAGAACGTCGTTCGTCGTTATATATGTGTATATATATATATATATATATCTATATTTTCAGCAGAAATATCACCGGTAGGTATATGCCGTCGCATGTCGTCTGGTGCGGCAAAAATCGCGGAAGAGATTTTCTAGCCGGAAAAGTCGCGCGTAATCGGCGGAATAATATTCGTGCCGTTGTTCAAACAACCGGAACTGTTCCTGACTGAGATGGGGACGAATGAAGGAGAAAAATGGTCGAGTGAGAAAATAAAGTGAAGTCGGGAAAGCCGACACATACAGTATTTCTCATGTATGTATCTTCAAGGAGAGAAAGAAAAGGAGGAAGAAGGAAATCGTTGGAAGACATATGTCGCGGGAATTCCTGCGCGAGTCGGTATGTGGTTGAAAATTTCGCGGAAATGGATGTATCGGTGCCGGGCTGCCGCGACGTTGACGATCGGGGGTGGGTCGACGGATGCGCGCAGTACTCGTTTCTCTCGGATTTTCGATGCATGCGGAATGCACCGGAGGCGAAACATTATTTACATCTTATGCGAATGTTGGCAACTCCGCGGATTCGAACTCCTCGATGCGCTTTGGCTGTAACGTTTCGTGAGAAACTCCTGCCCTCGGAAAGAGAAGTCACGACTCACTGCCGAATTTGGAGAACGTTCTCTACCTGCATGAGATGGCTCTCGTCGTGAAACATATTGCCGCGGCTTCGTTATTCGAGCGAGGCAAGTTATATCTGGCTGAAACTAAATTTACTGATACGTTAAAGCTGTGAAATTTAAATTACATGTATAAATACATGTATAAATTGTATATGTATAACATGCTTTATGTATAACATAAACCATATGTTGCAATCACTGCATTCCAGTCGCAATAATCAAGCCGAGATGAAAGGACGTCACATTTAATACTATAATTTAATGGAATAATTTTCATATTGCAAAGCAGAATTTTACTGTAGTAAACTACTTCCGCTTTCTATGCATTATCTAAAATTTAAAGTAATATTTTGCAAAAAGGAAAATAGCTCCCTTTGCAATATTCTCATAATAGCTAACAGCGCTGGTCTGAAATAATATTCGCCCCGTCTTTAAAGCATGCTCGGCACGTTCGACTAGAAAATGTAGTAAGGCAAAAAATTGAGAGATATAACAAAGAGAAGTAAAAGAAATATACAATATAATATATTTTAAGACCGTATGTGATAACATAAACTATAGAAATCAAAGTCTTAAACGGTCTACCTGGATCTTAATGCTTGTATGATTCTTATGTGAATTTATATACTACGTATGTATCCCCAGAAACGCGCGCTGAAATGATTTTTTTCGATCTTGAAACGCTAACTCTACTAAACCACCGCAGTAATATCACGAGTTTAATTGACTAGCAATTTAACAAATTTTTTATGCTTATTCGCATCTTCGAAACGATCTTAATAATGTTGAATGACATATTAAAATTACCTTGGCCGGGAATCGAATTCGGATCTTTTGCATTTCGTGCGAGTGTCCTAAGCCTTTAGATTACCGAGGCGTTAGTAATATTATAAAAAAGTAATATAAGCGTAAATAAGATGAAATATTTACTAATTACATATTTTTACTTACAGCTGAATCTTGGATCTGTTTTTAATCCTTAATACCTCATTTGTATCAGGCATTTACTTACTTCAAATTACTTCAAAATCTTTTTTTTTATCCAATATATTGTATTATAAACAGTTGATGCTTTGATAATCAACGTTAATTATAACAATTTAATTAAACATGAAATTATTTATAAATATAAAATAACATGAAAATTTAATGATTAAATTTTTTAAATTTTAATTTCATTTTTAGAAAGTTTTTAATGTAATTTCATCCATTTAAATTCTTGGTGAATAATTTTTGATATTAAATATGACAGAAAAGATTTCGCAAAAAGTCATACGTGCTTTGTCTTGAAAAAGAGACTACCCTCGGAGGAAGTCGTAAGACGACTGGAAAGATCTCGTGGGAATAATATCCACCCCTCGTTGTTCAAACAACTGGAATGAGAGGTTGGGCGAGGATAGGGATGGTTGAAAAAAGAA